AGAGAGAGAGAGAGAGAGAGAGAGAGAGAGAGAGAGAGAGAGAATGTTTTGCCAGAGTTCCTACTAATTTAATTATAAAACCTCTTATAAGAACAAGTAGTTTGGGGATGGAGAGATGAGGCCGCTCTTGCAGAAGACTCAGCTTTGAAGAATCCCAGCACTCACAAGGCAGCTAACAACCATCCAGTTCCAGGGATTCAAAGCCCTCTTCTGGCCTCCGTGGGCACTGAACAACATGGGTGCACTTACACACATATAGGTAATAAACTCATACACATAAAATAAAAATAAATTTAAAAATTAAAAAAGTTAAAAATAAGCAGTTTATAAATTTGTAAATTAAATTGAACCTTATGAAATTAATGGTAAAAATTGCTTTAGCTGTGTTCAAATGCAATTCAGTATCAGTTATAAGATAAATCTTTAGTCTTGACTTTTAAAATTCTCTTTTAATTTAATTTTATATTCTATTGTTGTGATGCCAGAGATGGATCCCAGGGCCTTGCATATACTAAACAAGTACCCAACGACTGAACTACATCCCAGACTCTAAATAGTGTTTCTAGAAAACACAGTGTGGGTTGGATTTGTGTTGCTTTTTTTTTCTCTACTCTTGTAAACTGATTAATTTACCATCTAACAAATCATCAGGCATATTCACGTTTTGTGAATTTTCTGTGATAAACACTGAATGTGACATTCTGTTACTATAATCTTTAAGTGAATCTTTAAGTGGCTTGCATCAAACTTAGGCCACAGTTTTGGGTTCAAGCTTCCTCTCTTTGCCTGTGGCATGATTCTTTCCTTACCAGGGCCACAATTCCAAGTGGAAGGCGTGCTGAAATCATTGTATGCCTCCACAGTGTATGTATAGTGCCATCTCACCTCATGAACAAAATTCTATGTGCCTTTGGCACTAAGAAGACCCACCCCAGGAACATGGAGGAAACAGAGTTCCCAGAAGATTTAGGGACCAGCAGAGAGAACGGATGCCTACCCCAGAGCGCCTATGCATGGCCACACCTCCCCTGGTCACGACAACAAGCCCTTCCTTTCAGTGCCATCCTGGCCCAGTGCCTACAACTCTCTAGAGGAGTGAGGGCCACATGCTTATGTGTCTGGGGAAGAAGGAAAACAAGACATGACAGACTAGAGGACGATGAAGATGCTTAAGAAGGGCACCACGTGCCTTCCACCTGTGAGCTGAGGACCCACCCAAGTATGGAGCCTCTGTCTCATCCAGGCTATCCACAGCAGTCTCACAAGGATTCTGGTGATGCTAGCTGTCCAGTGTGAGCAGTAACCACTGTGCCATGAGCATACTTGTCAATAATCCCTTTCTTATTGAGACACTTATGGTCTCAAACCCCAGGGCCTCTCGTGGAGTTGGCTGTAGTGTTAGCCAGTGTCCCTGAGGCTCATCCCTGCTGGGGAGCTGCCCAAGGGTCACCACAGACAGATCCAGAGAGGACTCAGGGATAGCTCTGAACCTCTGCATCATGGTCCAGCATTCTGGAAAGTTCTTCTCTTTCTCTAGTCCTGGATAAATGCTGCTGAGCTCCAAGGGTGCTGCAGGAGACAATCCGAACACCGTGTCTCCTATGGACTCATCTAAACAGGCAGGAGAAAATCAACAGCCTGCTCTACAATTAAACAGAGTTCTAAAAGAAAGCTCCCTTATGATTTGTACTAGTAGAAAAACCAAATAAACAAATCAGACATCTCCACTGAGCCATCTCCTGTCTGCTCCTGAGCCCCACCCTGTCCCGAATCCCCTGGGAAAACCCAAGTCCTACCCTTTGAAAGTATAAGAAATCCCTGAGCCCCAATTTCATCACTCCATAAGCATAAGTTTCTGAACTAAGTTCTTAACAAACACTATATAAAAATCTTATTAATCGCTCAGTCCATAAAAACCTAACCTTTCTATGGCTCATTTTAAAGCAACTAGAAGTCTTGTGGACTCAGCTATCAAATCCTCAGGAGCAGGAGCAACAGAACTGGCTGGCATGTTTTATAAACTCTTAGAGTCCTGAGCACTGACTGGCACTGCTTTATGGCAAAGCAGTAAAGTTGGATTGGCCTTTCCTACTTCTGAGCTGCTGGGCCCTCAAGGCCTTTTGGGGTCAGCACAGGACTGCCCTACTGCTTCTTGTATGGCTGTTGATCTTGCTGTTTTTCATATAAGCATCATAAAACCAAAGTGAAATGAATCACCCACCCCCAAAAGTCAAGCATGCATTGCAAATCTTACAGCAAAATCCCTCCAGCAAAGTCCTTCCGGTAGAGTGGCGAGTCCTGGAGCTCAGCCCACTAGGTGCTCTGCCTGGGAAGGCAGTGTTGGCCCCCGCCCCACTCCATGTTCATATGTGACTATAAGACGCTGCTGGTACATTGGACTTGAGGGTTTCCAAACTGAGTAGAAAATCAGACAAGAGAATGGAGTAGATTTTTGTTCAAAGAGCCGGAGAGCCGGCTCCACGGATAAGAGCACTTGCTGCCAACCCCGAAGACCTGAGTTTAATCCCCAGAACCCACATGGTGGAAGGAAAGAACAGACTCCTCAAGGGTGTCTTCTGAGCTCCACATGCATGCTGTGCCACATATGTGCACATTTGCATGTGCGCACACTGCACAAATGCATGTGTACACACACATGCACTCATAAAACACAAACATGAAAAAATGAATGAATGAGTAAATAAATAAAGTCTTAAAACGTTCACAGTGCCACAGTGGGAGACAGATCTCATCTTTCAGGAGAGGCAACTGAACCGACTGGCTAGGCCCTGCGGAACGGACTGACAAATCTCTGCAGCGTCTTCTTGGTGGGAAGTTGTTCAGTGGTAAGGGAGGAGGACTAGACAGTCTAATAGTTAGTGAGAGCATCTCAAGGAATCAGAGCTCAGGATCCCAGCCCCAGGGGAGAAGGACAGGGGTTTTCCACTCCCCCAAAGACCCCTTCCGCATCCCTTTGCAGCTCTGTGGAGCAGGAGTATAGAGTCTGGAAAGCAACAGGCCCTCCAGAGCATGGTCCTTCCTCACATGCTGGACAAGCTCCTCTGATCAGGCCAACCAGGAGTACATGAACGAGATGCCAGCTCCTCCTAAGCATCCTCCATGGGACACCCTAGAAATTCCTGGGAGATGGTTCCACAGTCCTGGGGGCCCTGGGACTCCCTACCTGCCTGGAGCCTGGCCTACCCAGAGCAGCTGGAGCATGGCAGGGATGGCAGCTGACCTGGAATGTTCCATGGCAACCTGGGGAGGACATTTGAGGGAAGGGATCCAATTGAAGACTCGTGCAGTAGAGGTGAGCCCTCGTCCATTGCTAGGTCTGACACGCGTGAGTTACCAGAGTCCCTCTCATGGTCACCTCTGGCCTAATTAAAATGTCCCCTTCCAGTTTCTGAGGCCCAGAGCTTTGTTTTGCTTATGAGTGACATCCAGATAAAGAGATGCTCATGCTCATATTCCTAGAGCCCACCAAGCAGCCAGGCAGGTGAGCACCCTCCTACTCCTAGAGTCCCGAGGGCCTGTCCCTGGCAGCACCCAGAGTCTAGCTGGGACTGGCCTGCCCTGGGTGTGATAGCCCAGCCTGTGCCATCTTCTCCCAGGCCTGGACTGCCACGCCCACTGCATCTATTGCAGAGACAACGGGCCGGGACGTGGCCCTGCAGCTGCCGAGTTTCAGAATCTGCTTTGGAGTCACAGGACCATTACCGCATTCACTACCATCACTGTCACACACAGACTTCATCATGCCCTCTGTGTTCAGCCGCACTCTGAAGAAACCCAACTGAGCTACAACATTGTATGGCCCTGTTTTACTCAAAAGCAGAACTAGACAACCTTGGAAGGGAGCTCACTCGGAGTCCCCACCACTCAAAATGAGATTCAGAAATGGCTTTATTTAAAAATCATCTCATTAGTCAAGGAGGTGTGGGAGTCTGGGGTGTTCCTGGGGTTTAGGACCTGCAGCTTGGTCTGAGCTGGTGACGGCAGGAATCTTTCTCACAAAGGCCGGTGGTACCTGTCACACCGTCCTGTTAGGCTGTTCCCTCTCACGGTCACCTCTGCCTACCCCCAGGGGCCATCATATAGGTATGGAGGACCCCACATACCTTAAGACAGAAAGTAGAGGCAGCTTCTCCTGATGGTTTGCACATGCATCAAAACTTTTAGTTCCTAAATGTCATTCAGGCTAACTACATGCACAGCAGGGAACACTGGCCCTTCCTGAGGTCCCTGTGGAGCCCCTTCTTCCCTACAGTCCCCTTCCAGCTGCTCTGGGCTCTTACCCCTCTCTCCAGGAGCATGTCTCGGAAATGGGTCACACGTTCCTCCAGGGGCAGGAGAATCTGCGAGGGTGGTGTCTGGGGGCCCGTGTCCATTCGCTGTGCCTCCTCCGGCCCTGGGGTCTCGCAGCCTTCCGTCCTTCAGGGACACAGACTCAGAGTTAACCACATCTGAGGACATCTAGTTTTCACTGTAACTTTAAACCCCTCTGAGGGGACTCCAAGACTACAGCGTTCCACAACTGGTCACAAACATTGTCTGTGAATTGCCCAGGCCTAAGTGGCACATCTACAATGCAGCTTCTATACCTAAGGCTCACGAGCATTGAACAAGGGGTAGAGGGAGTACTAAGACATCTCTCAGTTCTCATTTAATGAAGCTCTTTCATGAAACAGAGGCCAGGAACACAAAGGTCACAGGCGGTCAAAGCATGGAGAAGAGTCTGCAGAGTGTAAGCCCTTGGAGAGGACCCCTGTATCAAACTCCACCTACCCAGGGCTCAGGGACCATTGTGGAAGAGGGGCCAGGAAGACTGTAGGAGCCAGGGAGGAGGTGCAGGACCTCATGTTAACAGTCTTACAGGCTTCTGGGACCATGCTCATATGAACCTACAGCAATGGTGTCAGCATACACAAAACTGACGCAGACTCAAGCAGACAAAACCCCAGCACAGAACCGTGGAAATGTGTAACAAGCCCCAATCTTAGCTGAAGAATTATTGGCAGCTGATTACTGCTGGGTAAGGAAGAGCTGGTCTTCTCAGGGGGAGGGACTCTAGATAGGCTGCCTAGACGCCAGTGGATGAACTTGCACTGAGGGATGTCTAGGGACATAACTTGAGATGATAGGCCTTAACACAAATGATGCAATGTACGAACTCCAGTGTGTGGGGGGCTAGGGGAGGTGCCAAAGGGGAAGGGGGTACAAAGATGATCAAGTTTGATTATGTTATATATGAAATACACAAAAAATTCAATTAAAAACTCACAAAAAAGAGAAAGTCAGATGTTGTGGCGTGTGCCTGTAAGCTTAGCTTTTTGAGAGACTGAGGCAGTAGGATTGCCATGAGTGCGAGGTCAGCCTGGACTATAGAGTTAGACCGTTTCAAAGAAACAAACAAACGAGAAAGAAAACAAACAAAGAATCTTTGAAAACTCTGAGTCAAGCTGGCAAGACAATGCCCTTCCCTTGGGTGGCAAGCGGCTTTGCTGTGCTTGCAGGGAGGTTGGGATTGAAGTCCTGGCCTAAAGACCCTAGTCCTGAGAAGATGGTGACCACCAGTGAACAGAATCACAGGAGCTGTCATCCACGGAGCCTGATGCAGGACCCCACACTCCACAATGCCCTCACCACACAGGATGGAAGTGGGGGAAAACGAGGCTGGCCCATGCGTCAGGTGAAAGCCTACCTCCCCACCCCCACCGTGGTCTCTTCATAGCTCTGAGTCTTGTTCTAGAAGCACCTGGAAACCTCTCTAAACACCTAGGAGCTTGTGCCTGGAAGAAGATAGTTGGCTAAATTTGATACATTATCTTCACCTTGGCTTCTCCCAAACAGGCTACCGTGACGCCCCTGTCCCCGAGGACACAGCCCGCTCTTGTCTCGTCATGCGGTTCTGAGTTCAGCCTCTCCCTGACCACTCTGAGTCCTCCCAGGGCCTGTTCCTCAGTCAGTGCTCCACACCTGTCCATGGCCAGTGACTGTTTAAAATGACAGGCAGAATTGGTGATGGTGGACAGTCCCAGCACCAGGCCGCCCCCACAGACCCTTGTCTTCCTGCCCTAGGTCATGCAGACAACACTGGAGACATACTGCCCACAGCAGTGGGAACACACCTGGGAGAGACACACATAGCTGTGTGGAAACACACCAGCTGATGCACCTAGCATGTGCTGAGAGCGTTCAGCATTCCGTGCCTCTCAAGTCTTCCCTCACCCTTCCGCAATGCAGACTACTCCAAGCTAACTCGAAGTACACACAGGAACAAAGTGGTGCCAAACCCACGAGTGAATTTTATTTGTAGACCAGCTGTTTCAGGAGCGTGCACTGCCTTTGCTTCTGTGCTGATGTGGGATATGGGGGGAGGGTAGATGTGCAGCTGTGCCAGACTGCAAAGGTATAATTAGGACTTTGTACTAAGCTTTCATTAGCCCAAAATAGAAGTGTGGGAACAAGGCTCGTATTGTTTTAACTTGAGCACATTCCGTGATCCCGTTATCGCTTTATCTAACAAAATATTTTGTTCAGAGCTGCCAAGTGTCTTCCAGAGTGCTCAGCCCTGGGCTTGCCTGGGGTTGGTCAGAGGCAGATGTAAAACAGCTGAGCATAGTTCTGGATTCTTGTGGTAGAACAGTCTTTGTACCTTTAACCAAAGGGAAATCTGAATACGTTCCGTTGATGGTAAAGCCTGCTCATACCAAGTTTTGCCAAAGGAGGAAAGGCACCTGAGCACCTGGTTTGATGCCAGGTACTGCTGACTGCTCACAGGTGTAGAGCAAATGACCGGATAGAAGCTTCTGCTAACCCACACCCTGCTTTGGGAAACGTCATAGTCCAATGTGGGGTTTGGAAGGGTTGGTCCTGTCCGACCTCTCAACCACAGATGGCCCCCAATCTAGGTATCAGCACCTGGAGCCTCTTCACCCTAAGGGACTGCGTGTGGCCTGCATTCTGCTTCTTGTTAGTTGGGGTGTTGGGGGGATGTCCCAACCCCTGCAGACGGGTTTCTCCCCCGACTCCTGCTCCTCACCCCAGCCAGCTATACAGACCAAGGCCACCCACAATCTTTTAGACTCATCCTGCACTCAGATCTTTCCAACAGCACCATCAGAGCTAAACCAGCTGCCCAGACACACAAATGGCGACCCCCAATCAGCTGCCCACTGAAAGCTGGAAGGCTCAGTTTGCGCTGCAAGTCTGATGCACCCACACACCCCATCAAATGACAACGCTTTCATACTACTCGCATGGGAAGAAGTGCAGACTTAACAGCTAGAAGGATCAACACTCAAACGTCAGTTAGGCGAATCCACGGAGGTCCGTGTTCCTGGGTGCCTGCATATGGGGTGATGGTAGTGCCCACCTCATGAGCTGTTGCATGGTGCACGTCATTCCCTCAGAGCCGTCCAACCCCTTCCCCCAGCACCCACATGCTTATACTGTGACCTTCACTGTATTAGACACCAGGTGTTTGGGGAAAGCCAGGAACATCAACCATCCATGAAGCAGTCTGGTGGGCCCGGACTGAAGACTGGTTCATGCATACCAAGCCACAGCCTCACCAAAGGGTCGGAGCTGAAGGCCCAGCATAGCAGCACCCAGTTCAGGTATCACTGGGGAGGGCTACTGGCTGGCGTTTCTACCATCTTACTGTTTGTGGCAACTTTGCAGGAATAGAAGGGCCTCTCGGCTGACTTGTCCAGAATTGAACGGGAGAGATGAAGGGTTCCCCAGGCAGCCATGGGGTTACCAGCTTGTGTAGAGACAGAAGCTGCAGTCTGGGAGGCGCTGGTTCAGGGACGAGATTCCACTGTGGACCCTTTGGACTTAAGGGTGAGAGTCCCGCGAAAGTGCTGCTCAAGGGGGAACGCACCAAGGCCAACACACCTTGGGGGCTCAAGGTGCTTCGTCTCACTGTGCACACCCCGGGGCAAACCTAGGAAGTCTCTGGATTTTATTTGCAATAAGCTATGTAGTTCTGACAAGAGGATCCTAGCATGCCAGCAGCTCAAGTCTGTGATGCTGTGGGGTCCTGCTGAATCCATTCTACTGAAATAGCAAACATCAGGGCAGCGCAGACCCACCAGTGCTGCCTCCCAACTCTGTAGCGCCAGTGAATCTCATTAGCACGCCCCTTCTGTTTTCACCAAACTTGTTTATAAAGATGGTCAGCAGAAAGCACTGGAGGCAGATGCCTCCTGCCGCTAGCAGGTCTGCAGCCAGGGCCCTGCAGGTGGTCAGTGAGCTTCTCCCTGCTGGTGAGAGGCCAGAGGTGCGGTCTCAGTGGCAGAGGTGCCCTCAGCTTGGCCAACTTCCCCACCATCTGTCTCAGTTTGCAGGTGCCGAGTCGCCAGCCAGAGGGCTGTGCCAGTCACCGACCCGCACTCCCAGAGGGCTGTGCCAGTCACCGACCAGCACTCCCAGAGGCTGTGCCAGTCACCGACCCGCACTCCCAGAGGCTGTGCCAGTCACCGACCCGCACTCCCAGAGGCTGTGCCAGTCACCGACCCGCACTCCCAGAGGCTGTGCCAGTCACCGACCCGCACTCCCAGAGGCTGTGCCAGTCACCGACCCGCACTCCCAGAGGCTGTGCCAGTCACCGACCCGCACTCCCAGAGGCTGTGCCAGTCACCGACCCGCACTCCCAGAGGCTGTGCCAGTCACCGACCCGCACTCCCAGAGGCTGTGCCAGTCACCGACCCGCACTCCCAGAGGGCTGTGCCAGTCACCGACCCGCACTCCCAGAGGCTGTGCCAGTCACCGACCCGCACTCCCAGAGGCTGTGCCAGTCACCGACCCGCACTCCCAGAGGCTGTGCCAGTCACCGACCCGCACTCCCAGGGGCTGTGCCAGTCACCGACCCGCACTCCCAGAGGGCTGTGCCAGTCACCGACCCGCACTCCCAGAGGCTGTGCCAGTCACCGACCAGCACTCCCAGAGGGTGGCAGCCCCTTTCTTCAGTTTTGTCTCATGGTCCATCTGTCTCCTGTAGCGGAACTGATGACTGGCGCCTGCCCACAGCCACACACTGCCAGCCTCCCCAGGGCTGGTGAACAGTGTGGTGTTGAGCAGAGTAGGTGGCCTGGAACCTAAGGGCTTAGGCCTGATACGTGATATAGCATATTGCAGGTCTTTGTACCAGTTCCTAAAAGAGATGCTCCAGCACTCTGGGAATATCCTGAATAACAGGAGGTCTCTGCTGTCCACAGGAAAATCCTTTCCAGACTCTAGACAAGACCACACCTGAGTTTCCACCAGCAAGATGACTCAGGGGTCCAGGCAGTCCTGCTAGGAGCACCAGCCATGTTATTAGAGGGTCAAGACTCAGCCTCAGCCATTGCCCCTATCGAGGGTAGGGACAGGGGTTGCCCATGGAATCCAGTCTTTCTGTGAGTTCATCAATTGCTGATGATTAATAA